TGCGTGAAAGCACGGTTTCATTTCTGCCTGAGTGCTTACATTTCTTTCCACAGTGTAAAGGCCATGTGACTCAGGCTGGCACGCAGAGCTCTCCTTGACCGGCTGTTCCCGAAGCCCCACAGCACACACACCTGATGGTAGTGGCCTATGTGCCAGCTGGCCTCCTCACTTGTCTGGATGCTGGCATTTGCCATGCATTGCTTTCCACATGCTCATCTTGACCTTTCAGCAAGAGACCTTTGTCTACCTCCTCTATCAGGAAACTGGATTTTTCCTCTTACCCATATTCTTTCCCTAAACCTTTCCTGATGCCCACTCCTCCTCTTCCTACCCATTGCATGCTGGGATTTCTTAAGGGTCCAACTCTCTTTTTTTTTTTTGGGGGGGGGTGGATTCTATTTTCTCCTTTAAGCATACTAAATTAAGCTATCTATCTACCAGTTTGTTCTACCAGTAGGTTTGTTTTTTCTCAAGTGATTTTTGTAGTTAGTGAAAGAGGTATGTGAATACCAATTACAGATAAACCTCACGGTTATTTAGTCAGCAGGCAACGTATGTGTACTTACAATTTTAACCAATAAAAGCCTAGTACAACACACCAACGTTTCACAGTGGAAGCCAGCCTCCAATGTGCCTCCTTCGCAGGAGGGAGTGGGTTTATTTGTTTGTTTAGTTTTTAAAAATAGGGTCTTTCTATTACCTAGCTCTCACTGTCCTAGAACTCACTAAGTCACTATAAAGATTAGGAGATCCACCTGCTTCGTGAATGCTGGGTTTAAAGGTATGTGCTTCCATACTGGGTAGAGAGGAGGAAGTGGCCTTCTTCAGTGGCATTCTAGTCAAGCCATCAGACTTAGTATTCTCAAAAGCTTGTCTTTGTAGTTCATCAAACAACGTTTGACCTGTCTGTACACTTAACTAAATTAATGAACAGAATTGTTAGACATTAGGTCAAATTTTGATTTCTCATTTAAAACATCTCTTCTTGAAATGAATTAGAATTGGTAGTTGAGACATTCTGTCCCATTTGTTATAGTCTGGGACTCTGCCAGAAAATTGTTCTGAATGAACTAAAGCTAGAAATATTTTCAAGGGAAATAATTATTGAGTAATCAAGACGTCACCTTAAACCTTCCAGTGACGAAAGACATACTGAATGCTTTACCCGAATAGCTGGCTCTTCCTGCTACTCCCTGACATTCCATTTATCTTACTCAGGAGAGTAGGATCTGGGATAGTTGTAAAGGTAGGAGTCTGATGTGAATACTGGTCAGTGCTGAAGTGGTATTTGAATAGATAATAATGAGGTCATTAATATCTGTCGTTGAATTGGGTTGAGTTGAAAAGTGTCATGGGGAAGTTAAGTTTGAACATAGTTATTTTTCAAGTGGGATCAAAATAATATTGCAGTAGGCATTTTACATCAGTCGAGCACAGGTAAGAGCTTTTCATTTGCCTCTTGTCACTAATCTGTGTGTGAAACAGAAGAAATTAGGAACTGTCCCTTTAAAACGCTGTTTACCTAGCCTCTTCCAGTGGGCGTGACTTAGGAACCTGTAGAGTGAGGTGTGACTTCAGCTCTCCAGACTGACCTGCCCCTTGGAAAGAGGGCTGGTGCTCAGAACCAGGAAGGGACCACTGACGCTTCAAACTGAACTCCAACTCTGCTTTTCCATGGCGGAGTGCCTCACAACAGAAGAGGAAATTGAAGTAGTGGCTCTGCTTAGCTGTTATCAAAAATTTGAAGCTCTACTGTGGATAAAGACTTCATAGAATGCATAGAATACAAAGCTTTCTGGGCCAGAAATTGATCTGCTGACTTTTGGCTCCTATCTGATTACTGCTTGGTTCATCTTTATTTTGCTCAAGTATCTGCAGGCTGAACTGAGCGCTGCTTCGCTCCTTTGCAGGTAGGCGGTCAGCTTTCTTGTAATATTTAGATCGTTTTTGTTGCTGTTTGTTTTTGTTTTAAGTTTCAACTGCTAAACATTGAAAAAGTTGCGACTATCAGGCTGGGCATGTTTGAATAGTATGATTGTAAATAGTCGTGCTTTTGTGACAGCTAGGCAACCTTGCAGAAAAAGTAATTTTTAACAAATCAGCAAACCTAAACACTGTGAATGAAATGAGTTTTGTTTTGTTTTCCATTAACCAATCATGTGTTTACATTTAACTAATGGATCAAAATGTATATTGAAATTATCTTGCTAATTAACTTAAATAGCATTCTGTTCTTACTGTTTTACTCATAATTTTTTGTTCTTTCACTGTTAGGAAGCTAAGTGCTCACCATTGCTTCATTTGCTTGCTTTTGTTTCATCTTCGGAAAGGTCTTTTATTTCAAAAAAAGTTTTTGTGAAAGGTTAACAACCTAACATGGGTGTGCTGAATTTTTTTTCTTCTTTGGTAAAGCTAGCCATCCTTTTGTGACTGTTTCAAAGATGATGTCTTTGGAAGACTTAGTCTGTTTGCAGTATGAATTACTGTTATGAAAGCGGAGTCTACAAAAGAATCTCTGGAGTAGAAGGCAAGTCCCTTTAGGACCAAGGACAGTAGTTCCTTAATTGTCACCAATGGGCCTTTACATTTTTCTTCTCTGGACAGTCCGCTTGATAAGACTTCACCCACTAAAAAAACAGTTCTAATAAATAGCAAACATTACAAAATTTGTTTCCTAGGTATGCTCTTTTCAGTTAGAGTCCTCCCACCTGAGATTTCCACTCCATGTTAATACGATTAGCGCCAGGCAAAGACGCTTGTTGCTTTTTTCTTAGCTTGTTCCTTCTGTAGGCATTTGGATATTTTTGACGTTTTGAGATGTGGCTAATGACACCTGAATTGTCATGAACTGTTCTGGAGGTCTTCTGGTCTTCTGGTCTTGGCAACCTGGGAAATATCTGTTGAAAGCACAGAAGTTTGCCGTTAAGAGCTTTGGTTCCATGAGCTGTAATGAGAGTCATCTAGTAAAATAGGCATGCACAGGTGCTGGCCAGCCAAGGAAATCGTAAGGAATGTCAGGGCTGAATTCAAGGTATTTATACATTTGAGCCCAGTAAAGATTTGTACATTCTACTTCCCAACTTTAATTTCTCCAACTGGGCTAACAGATGATTTGCTGGCTTCATAACAAATATTATTTCCACTTGTGTATTCCCTCTCTATTTATGCGTTGGTTGCCTTCTCCCCATCTTTTCTCATTCCTCTTCCCCACATCCATCTTTCCTTCAGCTTCCTCAGAAGCCTTTCTCCACTTGGAGCCTTATCTGGCCACCCTGGTCCTCAGTAATATTTCCTTCCTTTTCACTTCTCCATCCTGTTGAATATACCAGCCCATTAGCATATGATCATACGTATCTTATTTAAGAGTGTCTTTTATGACTTCAAATATATTAGAAGTACTTAATGCTGAGATTGCTCTTATGCCCGTATCATCTAGTGTGTGCCACACATTTCATTCCCAATAAACAGCTGTGGAATGGATGAACGATCTAGTTGACAGTTGCTTCGAGTATCATGCTGTCTCTCTCTTGTCTTGCTTAATCATATTATTAACTGTAGTGCTTCTAGAAACCAGTTTGTTGGTTACTATGATATGTTACAGCTGGCTATATTTGGTGATAAGGTTTTTTGTTTGTTTGTTTGTTTGTTTTTAATTCTTGGCTGGGTGATGCTGGTGCACACCTTTAATTCCAGCACTTGGGAAGACAGAGGCAAGTGGATCTCTATAAGTTCAAGGCCAGCCTAGTCTACAGAGTGAGTTCCGGGACATCGAGGACTACGCAGAGAAGCCCTGTCTCAAACAAACAAAAATATTAAAAAAAAATTTTTTTTTTTAGTTTAAGTGTGAGTGTGTGTGTGTGTGTGTGTGTGTGTGTGTGTGTGATGTATGGGATATCCATGGAGTACAGAAGGGAGTGTCAGATCCTTTGGAGCAAATTAAAGGTGTTTGCAACCTATAATGTGGGAGCTAGGATGTGTACTCTGGTCCTCTGTGGAGCAGTAAGAACTCTTAATTGTGTAGCCATTCCTCTGCTGTATTTGGCGATTTCATCACTCACATGCTACCTATAAAGAAAGCAAGCTGGACTTTATTAATAGTATAATAGTATTCTGAAGATAGTTTTCTTGTATTTTATATTTTAGGAAAATACAATTTAGAGATGATTGGGGTACAAAGTTCTAAAAATGTTTAAGCTATTTAGATATGTGAATTAAAGTTTTTATTTTGAGTTGACATTTAGAACTCTGAATGGTGATCCTAAGTTGTGTGGATTTCTGTTCAGCAATTGCCAGAAATAATAAGTAACTTACACACACACACACACACACACACACACACAAAACACTTTAAGCACCTTTACTTCACATGTACAATAGCTACTTTGTGCACACTTTGCAATCCCAGCATTTTCTAAGTGGCATGTGCTATTTAGTTCCCAATACTTTGGAGACTAGCTTGAGCCCAAGATCAGCCTAGACAAGCTAATGAAATCCCATTTCAGGGGAAAATTAGTTATCTGCTTATCTATTCCTTGTATCAACTCTTTACTTGCCTATTTATTTTTAATTTTCTACCTGCATGTATGTCTGTGAACCACACCTATGCCTGAGACAGCCAGAAGATCCCCTGGAACTGGAGTTATAGATGGTTGTGAGCCACCTTATGGGTAGGCAGATGCTGGGAATCAAACCTAGGTCCTCTGGAAGAGCAACCAGCGCTCTTACCCATGTAACTCTCTTGTATTGTCTTTTATCAGATGGGCGTAATATACTTTTTTTTTCAGCACTGGTGATTGAGCCTGGAGCCTTGTGGGTCATACCCACTGAGTTATATGCCCAGCCCTCATTAATTTTTATAGAAAACAGAAAGTAGGGAGAAAAATAGTGCCACACCTTGAATGCTCAGCCATGGCTCCTTTGACTTTGGCCTTTGGCCTTGAATTCCTGTTATGTTATCTGTTGTATTTTCTAATCCTCATGCAATGTTTCCGTTATCTTAGAGTCTGACCAGACAGGAGTTCTGGCAATTGCTTCAGCAGAACTATGGCACGGAGCTGGGCTTAAATGCTGAAGAAATGGAAAATTTGTCATTATCCATTGAAGAAAATGTGCAGCCAAGGTACAGTGAGGCAACTAACAATGTCAAGATGCATCATGAACCATTAAAATGGCATTACTTTAGGTTCTTCTCATTTGGGATCTCTACTAATCCATCATTTGGTGCAATTTGCCTTTTTGTTGGTAGGATAGGATGCAAGTTGGGAGAGAATCACTTGCTAAATTGGCAAGCAAATGTGGGACATGAAGAAATATTAATGATGAAGCTATGGTTGTTGGGATTTGCTTGGCTTTAGACAGCCTGTTTATTAAGGACCTGGTACAGGAACTGGTGAGATCTCCAAGCTTACAGGAGCAGTTCGAGGGATTAGGGTGGTTTTATGACTTTTCCTTGAGGACTCAGTAGCATAGCGACACGTGCCTAGCACTCAGTAAGCACTGACTACATTAGTAAAAGGAGCTGACAGTGCTGTGGAAACGCAAGCAGTGGCAATGCAAGGGTCATGCCGCGCTACAGTGTGATAAAGAAATAAGTAGAGAAAGATGATTTTGACAGATATTCATTAAGAAGTGTGAACATTTTATTAACTTTACAAGTAAAAATGCCCCTTATCCAATGTTAATTGAGGCCATGGCAATAAAAATGAGGGTGATGCATTAAAATTCTGTAGCAAACATTATACTAAGTAAGAGAAGCCAAGAACCAAAGACCAAATCTTGATGTTTTTGTTGTGAGCCTTGCTGTTAGTGGCCCAGCCTTCTCTGTAGCCCTCCAAATCTTATAATGTAAATATGTTGAAAGTCTTAATACATACACAAATATTTTCCTCCTCTGGACAGTCTTCTATTCTACTGCTCCAGCCCATATTGTCTCAGTTTACATCAATCTTTTATATTCGTTTTCACATGGTTGTGCATGCATATTTTATCACTTTTCTGTAAAGTTAACATTTTTCCGTTGCATTGCTGTCACCATAAAGCTTACCAGTATTTCTTAGGTACCAAAACCATTTAGAAAACCAGTTTACTAATGCAGAGAGCCTTGAGTTGTAGTCAATAAGATCTGGATTGTGGTGTGTAGCCGAGAAACCTTTGAACATTTCCAGTTCTCAGTTTACTCATCTGCAAACACGAGGCAGTTAGATTTGGTGGCCTTCAAGGTCTCTGCCGCCTTGTGAACTCTGGAGTCTCTGAAGCAGGAAAGTACTTTGACCCAAGTATCTCAGACACATTTGAAGTCACCAGGGAAGCTCTATTCTCCGCTCCTAGCGACTAAACATGAGAAAATGTGTAGCAGGATCCTCACACCCAGTTCTCCCTTGCACATGCTTCATCTGAAAACAGCAAGTCCACGTCAAACCTTTATTTCCTCAGCCCTCCATATTTCTTTTCTCTATTCACATTCTTCCTTTCCCTCTGTTCCTTTCCCCTCTCCTCTCTTACCTTCATTCTCCTTAAACTCTTGAGATCTCCTTCACTTAAGCAGTGAGCTATTTCAAGGATTCTTTTCTCTCTCTCTCCTGATCCCCATGGAGCCCCACGTTTCTGCCTGCACAGGGGCGAGCTGGTAGCAGGCCTACAGCCATTATCTGTGCAGAGTTAAAGAGGGCTTCTGCTGCTTAGTTTTAGGTCAGCCTGACACGGCTAGAGTCATCTGAGAGGAGGGACCCTCGGTTGAGAAAGTGCCTCCATAAGATCCAGCTGTAAGGCATTTTCCTAATTAGTGATGGTGGAGGGGGGGGAGGTCCAGCCCATTGTGGGTGATGCCATCCCTAAGCTGGTAGGCTTGACTCTACAGCCACCATTCGGAAGCTGTATTTTTACAACTTTTTCTTGGGGTTGAGTAGCTTGTCAGTAGCAATGGGGCCCACACCACTCTTAGGGACTGAACTCGGGTAAAGCTAGATCCTCAGCCCAGAAAAGAATATCTCGACTGGTGAGAGTAAAACAAGTTTATTAAGTAAATAAGAGAGAGAGGAGCTATAGTACAAGCTTAGATTTAAGCACAGGATTTGGTGGGGGTGAGGAATGGGAGTGGAGTTGGGTAGGGGGCAAAAAGAGATGTGGAGACAAACCAGCCTTTAAGAAAAAAGGACACATCTAAGACATGGGTGTGGGGCTTCTCAAGACAGCCATGCTTAGTTTTCTTTACGGTGGATGTCTGTACACATAGTCCTGTTGTTTTAAAAGTTATACTGTTTAAAGGGTATAACGCATCACAAGGCTTAAAGATAAAAGTTAAAAGTTAAAGTTTTAATGTAATGTTTTAGAAATTAAATATGACTATATGAGCAAGCTTACTTATTTATTAAAGACTTTTCTTTTGTAACAGAAACCAAACTGTGACCTTATGTGGCGTGTTGCTTAGACTCAGGGCAGGAATGTGCAGCTTAAGCCTTAGGCCATAAAGCTTCTCATCCTAAGTAAGCATTAGGACCCGAGGTAGGTTGAACATCATTGCGATGTCTTTAGAAAAACTAGTACTATCTTTGCAGGCAGGTGTTTTGTTTTGTTTGGTTTTGTTTTGTTTTATTGAGACAGGGTTTATGTAGCGCTGGTTGTCCTGGAATTTTTTGTAGACCAGGCTGACCCTGAACTCATATCGATCCACCTGCCTCTGCCTCCCAAGTGCTGAAATTAAAGGTGTGTGCACCACCACACCTGGCTATTTGCCAGCAGTTTTGATTTTTGTCATTTGTGTTGAAGATTCTTTTAAAAAAAATATTTTATTTTTATTATCCTGAGTGAGATATCCCAGAAGTAGAAAGACACAGGGTATATACTCACTTGTAAGTGGATATTAGACATATAATATTGGATAAACATACTAAAATCTGTACACCTAAAGAAGCTAAGCAAGAAGGACGACCCTGGGTAAGATGATCAATCCTCGTTCAGAAACACAAATGGGATGGACGTTGGAAGAGGGAGAAAACAGGGAACAGGACAGGAGTCTACCACAGAGGGCCTCTGAAAGACTCTGCCCAGCAAGGTATCAAAGCAGATGCTGAAACTCATAGCCAAACTTTGGGCAGAGTGCAGGGAATCTTATGAAAGAATGGGGAGATAGAAAGACCTGGAGGGGACAGGAGCTCCACAAGGAGAGCAACAGAACCAAAAATCTGGGGTCTTTTGTGAGACTGATATTCCAACCAAGGACCATGTGTGGAGATAACCTAGAACCCCAGCACAGATGTAGCCCATGGCAGCTCAGTGTCCAGGTGGGTTTCCTAGTAATGGGAACAGGAACTGTCTCTGACAAGAACTCAGTGGCTAGCCCTTTAATCACCTCTCCCTGAAGTGGGAGCAGCCTTATCAGGCCACAGAGGAAGACAATGTAGCCAGTTCTGATGATACCTGATAGGCTAGGGTCAGAGGGAAAGGAGCCTCCCCTATCAGTGGACTTGGGGAGAGGCATGGGAGGAGATGAGGGAGAGAGGGAGGGTGGGATTGGGAGGAAATGAGGGAGGGGGCTACAGCTGGGATACAAAGTGACTAAACAGTGTTGATTCTTGACTCTCAGCTAGAGGGAAATACAAGCTAGATCTCAGAGTGAGGGACCCACTTCCCCTCCTTCCCACATTTCCTTGTTCTCCCTGTCTTTGTGTCCTGCCTCAGCCTGACTGATGGCCATTGTGTTCAGACAAGAGGAGCTCCCACTTCAGGAGGGCCAGGTTACCTCCTGGTTACTAAGTCAGAAGCAGGACAACGGCCTGATGGTGCGGAGAGGCACCCAACTCATACATCTTCCTAACCCTTTGAAGTTCTGTGGTTTTACAAGTCGACTTACATCTGATCCACACTGCTGGGGTGACTTGAACTTCATTATATTTTTAGTGATTTCTGAAATGTATGGATTTCCATATAAACTTTTATTTTATTTTCAAGAACAAAGTCTGCTGTCATTAACAGGATAGCGTGTTATAACTGGAGCTTGCTGCAGCTTAATTTACTCTTTGTTGAGATGATTTAGACTAGCAAAGACTTCAGAGAGGAACAGGGAGGGCTTTCTGGGTGGAGATATAACCTTAGGCTTCCGTAATGCAATGCTGTGTTTCCGCAGAAGCCCCGGAAGAAGCAGTGTGGATGACGCTGGGGAGAGAGATGAAAAGTTCTCCAAGGCCACCAGCTTTCCACAGGAGCCAACCAGCCGAGTCTCAGACACAGAGCCACCGGATGGGAACTCACCGAAAAGAGTCAGTCTATGCTGTTTCCTAAAACTTACACCTGATCTGGATACGTGTCAATTGCAGCACCAGCTCAAGTCAAAAAAAAAAAAAAAAAATGCAATGTATTCCCAGTGTTCAAAAGCTTGGGATGTCTGGCTGCTACTTTATTTTAGGAAGAGGGCTTAAATCTCTAAGTAGCAGAGGTTATGCGGGAAAAGCATGTGGTGGTCTTCTAAGGAACAGAGCCACCAGCAGGTCCCTGAACGACATAGTTAAAACACTAAGTACCGTTTAAAATATAACAAGATATGGGAATTTGTAGTCAGTGAAATTTCCCCAAAGGTGAAGAATGTGTGTGTGGTCTGTTTTGAAGGGGGAATGATGAGCCTTTGCACACAGGCTGGGTCACAGGGAACACTCCTTATTAGAGATGACAGTCCAGCCAACAACTGGGCTCTTTAGTTAGCTGGCAAGCTACTTTTTTTTTTTTCCAAGTATTTTAAGTGTATTGGTTTTAAAGTTTATTTAGTTTCAATCACTTGGAGTCATGATTAATTTTAAACAGGATCTTGCTATGTTTCTCAGTCAGACTCAGAATCTGTGAGCCTTCTCCTTCCTCACTCTCCTTAGTACTAGGGCTACAGGCATTCCCAACCACACCTGGCTCTTTATTCCTGTTGTTATTTGATACTTGGTGTGTCTCCTCAGCCCCTTCAGAGGGGCTCCTGTCTTCTGATCTCTAATGCTTTTTTTTTTTTTTTCTGAAATAGCAGTGTGTCCCATGCACATTTGTGTATTTTCTGCCATAGATACGTCTTTTTTTTTTTTTTTTTTTTTTTATGAACCATTTTCTTAGTGAAGAGCATGGTGTTTAGAAACCACCTTCTCAGAGCTGAGTGCTTCAACACAGCTTTTCCTGTTTGGGGCCTCCAACTTGACCGATCGGATTTTAGAGCAGCTTTTGGGTGTCAGACCCTGCTTCTGCCTCTTGCTAAGGGCACCATATCAAATAAGTTAGCTGCTAATGCTTTGTCTTTGTTCTCTCAACTATAAAGTAAGAGTAATAACTCACAGGATTTCTAAAATAAGAATGGAATGAATTGGTGGCCATGGAGGTACTGGGAACAATTAGTTAAGTATCCTAAAACCATAGGCTGTTGTTATTGAAAGTGGGCCTGCATGTAGTTAGCAATGTTTTTTTATAGAACTGACTCCCTCTCCACACCCCCACCCCCCACCCCAGCTAGGAAGCTCCTAGGATCTCCTCTGGGTAAATGTTGGGAAAACACTGACATAGATTTATTTATGTGAAAGGCCTCTGAGTTCTACACTGTGTTAGGCCACCACCTTTCATCAAGCATCTACGTCAGCCAACTGTTATAAAACTTATGCATTAAGAGACACTTCAGGCCCTACCACTGCACAAGAAATGTCATTCTGGAAGTCAGTCTTTGTATGTGGAACACTCACTTAGGGGAGGTAACAAGGTGGGAGACTTCTTGCCGAATCATTATCTCTTTACCAAAGTCCACCGTTGAGGACTTGGTTCTCAGGACTCTAGGCTGTCACCTAGTCCTTCCTACTTCCCCCATCTTCTGTGGCTCTTCTCGGAATGCTTAGCCTGTTGGTCCTCACCTCTAGTTCTGTCCTCACCTCTAAGTCTAGCCTAACAGTCCTCTGAACAGCTTCACCTGGCAGCTGATGGCAACAGATGCAGAGACCCACAGTCAAACATTAGGTGGAGATCAGGTAGTGTTTTGGAAGAGTTAGGGGAAGGATTGAGGGAGCAGGAAGGGTCAATGACTCTACCAGAAGACCTATAAGAGTAAACTAACCTGGACTCACAGTGACTGACCTACCAACCAGAGTATGCGTGGGTGGGACCTAGGCCCCCCGCACACATGTAGCAGATGGAAGCTTAATCTCCATGTATGTCCCCCTAACTATTGGAGTTGCCTATTCTTAGTAGTGAAGGGGATTTAAAAGAGTGCAGCAGATCAATCATAGTCTTGTTGATGCTTAGTTCAAGATGTTTTTCTTGCTTTGGAAGTTGGGTCTTTTTCACAAGGAGTTTATGGTGAAATTTTCAGGTCTTAGGAATCAGCAAATATTTGTCTGTTTTTCACTTTGTTTGATTTTTTTTTTCACTTTCATCAAATTGAAAATAACAAAAATCAGAAACAACTGTTCTCCAAATGAAAATATGCTTGTTATAAAATTAATATTCCTTGTAAAATATGGGAAGATATCTAGAGATAAAACAGTAAACACCAACAATTTGTTACTTTTCTTGATCTCTTCCTTTTTTAGTAATTTTTAATTTTTATTTTATGTGCATTGTTTTGCCTGCATGTATGTCTGTGTGAAGGTATCAGGGTCCCTGGAACTGGAGTTACAGACAGTTGTGAGTCGCCAAGTGGGTGCTGGGAATTGACTCTCAGTCCTCTAGAAGAGCACTCAGTGCTCTTAATTAATCACTGAGCCATCTCTCCAGCCCCACTGTTACTTTTTGTCTAGGTATTTATCTATATCCCTATAACAGGAAATATAATTTAGTTAACAAGAGAATAAAAACAGTGTGGGCTCTGCTTGACTGTTAGGGGGGCCCTGGATCTGCTAAGCAAGCATATTGCTTTCTACCATGGAACTTGTAAATAGATCAGCTCTTGTTTTTTAGCTGCATTCTCTGCCTGAAGAATCAGTTCTCCAGGTAGGAGAGTCTAACTGTGAATTGTGTCCTGGTCCCAGGTACCGCTCAGCTCCCTGTGTCCTCCCTGAAGCTGAGTCCCTATTTATCGCTGGAGAAGGATCTTCTAGTGCAGAAAAGAAAAGGGCTGGATATATGTTTTGTCTGCTCTTTCATCTGTGTATACACAGACAACACAAAAAGGAATTTTTCTGTATAGTTAATACAAATTCTTTATTTATCTGACTAATTATACTTAGTTCTGTTTGAATTATAGCGTAATAGCATTTATATTTAATATCCATCATTTACTGTATCTGTTTACTATTATATTTATCTGTTACTATAGAAATGGCATGTCTTTCTTAAATATGCCCAGAAAGTATACACATCATTTTGGCATATTTTAATTCCTTATCTCTTCATCTCTTAATGGTAGAACCAGTTGTGTTTGTAATGAAGCTAATCCTCTCCAACCTGCTCTCCTGGGGGACTTCTATCTCTTCATGGCCTTTTCATTTCTACTTTATTATTGGTTTTGAGAGATGGGTACATGGTGGGTGATGGGTAAGGAAACAAAACCGGGTTTGGCTTCCCTCCAAAAGACCTGATTCTTCCTTATTTTTTGTCTTCTGTCCCGTTTACTTTCCGCTCCAGCCACTCACATGTTAACTTCCTCTGAATCCCTTTTATATGATATTCTTTATAAATTAATTGTTCATTACTGTGTGAGAACACTTCAGGAAGGCCTTCATTACCTACTAACATTTTAAGGATAGCATTCAGTCCTAACAGAATGCTATAAAGCAGCATTTCAGTCCTTTCCGCTTCATATTCAATATTAAAGTTCTTACTGTATGACCTATGCTTCAAATCATTTTTTTTTTTTTTTTTTTTACTTTCAAACTGAATTGTTTGTCTTTTAGGGATTAGGAAAAGAGGAGTCCCAGAGTGAGAAACGTGTGAAAAAAAGCCCTTCAGTAGATTCAGAAAAGAGGTTAAGTAGAACATCCTCCAAATCACTGGACTTGAATAAAAATGAGTACCTTTCTCTGGACAAAGGCAGCACTTCAGATTCTGCAGACGAAGGTAAAGACTTTCAATCTAAACAAAATTCCAAGCATGTCTTCTAATGTTTACCCTTGTGTTAGGAGTGTGTGTGTGTGTGTGTGTGTGTGTGTGTGAGCGCGCGCGCGCGCAGAGTGAGAACTTGACTGTGGCAGCCGCGCGCTACAGAGAACCAGAAAAGGCACGAATGTGCATAGAGGATGGGAGAACAGCTCCTCAGTCAGTCTGACCCATCTTTATTCCTCTCAAAGTCTGGAATTTGAAAGTCTCCATTAGATCGACTTAGAATCCCAAGCTTTCTGGGACCAGGAGTTAGTAAAGTAGCTCAATGCAAGTGCGAGGACCCGAGTTTGAGCCCCAGCACCCACACGGCAAAACCAGCATTTGGTGGCACAGGTGTGCACCCCTGGTAACCGGTGCAGTGGTGCACACCTTTAATCCCAGCATCTGGGAAGCAAGAAGCAGGGGAGGCTCTAAGTTTGAGGCCAGCCAAGGCGCGCGCACACACACACACACACACACACACACATATACACACACATATACACACACATACACACACATATACACACACACACATACACACACACATATACACACATATATGTTTATATATTTATGAAAGCAAGTAGTCATGGCAGGTGCACATTCCAAGATTAATATTTAAATTACTGTGTAGCTTACAAAGCAAATCAAATTTCTAGAAAGGGACTCTTTTTAAAAGATTACTTTACTGATGTTACTTAGGAGATTATTATTCCACTCTGTAAAGGAGTAGTCAAATGCTTTTATTTTAGAATAAAATAATAATAATAAAATGTTATATTTTAGAATACTTTTGAGAAATATTTAAAAATAGCCACATGTGAAGCATGCCCACATCCTCACAATCACTTCTGAACTGTTTTTATTAGGGTCATTGTCTATTGAGTTTTTTTAATTTAAATTTATTTCCAAATAACTTTTTTTTCCCCAAATAACTTCTAAAGGAACATTCTATAGTTGAAATTTTTAAAAAGAGAAACGTTAATAATATTCTACATGGCATTTAAAGATAATTTATGGGGACGGTGAGATGGCCCAGTGGGTGAAGGTGCTTGCCATTAAGCAAAGTAATTTGAGTTCAGTCCCTGGGATCCACTGGGAAGGAAGAAATTGACTCCTGCAAACCGTCCATTGACCCTGTAGGTGTGTGATAGCCCACGTACCCTCTCCACAATAAATAAATGAAATGTAAAAAATGAAATAAAATAAATTATTTGGTTTTAGAAGACCAATAGATGTAGCTAAACTCTCACGATGATGAGTAATCAGAATCTTTACCAAAAGAAAGGCCTTCTGGGTACCAAATGTGCTATATACTTTGGCTGGTATTCTTACTATATGCTTTATATTATTGCACAGGACCAACAGATAGCACCCTTTCTGATATCCCTACTGTAATAAAATAGGGAGGAGAAAAAAAAGAAAAAAAAAAGCAAAAAGCAAGTCAAAGAGACCAAAACATTATCCTCAACACGAATAGCGGCCGAGTTAGACACTAACTTCCTTACATGTGCCAGAGGCAGCAGGACTACCGCCTGAGCTGAAAATGGGGATGATCTACTCATCAGTCAGGCCAGCCACCCTCCATAGAGGAAGAGGGAAACCCAGCCATGGAGCAGCAGTAGCTTCTGAGGGTACCTGCTTCACTAGGCAGGACAGACATGTGCCACGCCCACCCCATCTGCCCCATCCATGCTTACACATTAGGTTAGGCAGCATGTGCTGCCAGGACAGATCCCGCAGGCCGCATGGCTCAGACAAGAACAGTGTAATTCTTCACAGTTCGATGGGGTGGAAGTCACAGATCAGGCCCAGCCGAATTGCTTTCTGGTGAGGACACTGTTGCTGGCTGCAGATAGCTGCCTTCTTACTCTGTCCTCAGTGCATACCCAGGAGCTAGGGTGGGAGGAAGAGGGAAGCATGGAATAGTTGAGAATATAATAATGGGGGGGGGGGGACCCGGCATTTATAGGAAACTTACTGGCAAGTCATGCTCCCTCCTCTCTCTCGGTTCTCATAACCAGTGTGTCATATCACCCAGTAGGTTTTGTAAGAAATGAGGAGCACTGGCACTGAGGTCAGTGCAGTAGGCATGATGGGAATGGTGAATAGCACAGCCTTACTAGGGCCCCTGCTACCACCTTCAGGATGAGTGGGTATGAATTAGACAGGTGCTGCCTGACCCAACCTAGGACTCTAGGAAGATCTATTCTGGCACCCAGTGGCCAAATAGGCAAGTGACACCAGATTAAGAAATTATTTTCTCTTTGTTTAAGCCTGCTCTTAAGAATTGTCCTTAAAAAGTCATTTCATCATTGAGTTCCCAGAAAAATGACATTAAAACTCAAAAGCTGTGCACACATTGAGGGATAATTGAAAGATGAGTGTGTAGTTCTTGTATGTGAGCCCTGGCCACTGTGTTCCTTATTGGTGCCTCTTTAAAAACTGCTTGGTTTGGCAGTGAACATTTACATGACATTTTCCCGAGTGTTCCTAAGGTGGTGGTGTTGTTCTGTTTTTTTAAAATTAGATTATCATTAGATAATGACTTGAGTGTTCCAACTGTTTTCCCTAAATGAGTTTCAAATCCCAGGCCCATCAGGTCTTTCAAGTGAGTATGATGATGAATCTGTTCTTCAATTTTCTTGTGGTTGTAAAATGATGGATCCATAGGCAGGAAATGAACTGGGGAGAAAATGGGGAGAGTCAAACGAAGTAGACCAACTAGGGTTTAGGCCTTGCCGCGAGGGTTAGAGGGAGCTGGTGGAAATCCCTTCAAACCCAACAAGGATGCAGTGTGTCTGTAGAGACAGGGTCTTGCTGTGTCCTGAAGCTGGTCATGGACCTCCGGCAGGCCTTGAGCTTCCAGTGACGTTCCTGCCTGACCCCGAGCACTAGGATCCTGCACACGTCACCACACTTGCTGAAATGGAGCACCCTGATCTGCTTTTGAACAGATAGGAAAATGCAAAAATCCCACCCTACTTTTCTCTCACATTTATGCTACAATTTGGGGGGAAGGGGCAGTGGATTATTTTGATGGAGAGATTCACTCTAGGATTATGTATCCCGACAAGATCAATTAAAACACAAAATCATGATACTGTCTCATGGAGGAAATCGGTGTTTGCCTGTGCTTGCCCCAAATCCCAAACTCAGTTTTTTCCTATAGAGCATGTTTTATGCATTCTCAGAACAACTGGCAGTATATGTTTTAAGTTTCACATTGCTTGATTTCCCCTGTATTTATCTGCTTCATTTCGAATTATTTCTACTGGCCATCTTCCAACCGATGCTTTAAAAGCTCGTCTTAAATTATGTATACTTGTGCGTGTCTGTGCCTGCAACTGCTGGTGCCCACAGAAGTAGGAGGTCCTTGGATCTCCTGGAGCTGGAGTTTCTGATGTTGGTGAGCTGTCCAATGGGGATTATGGGATCCACACTTGCGTCTTCTGGAAGAGCAACCACCTCTCTGGTTCCTAAATTGAGATTATATGTTTGTGCATGTGCGTGTGCGTGTGTTTCAAGACAGGGTTTCTCTGTGTAGCCTTGGCTTCTCTAGCCTTGATTTGTAGACCAGGCTGACCTTGAACTCACAGAGATCTACCTGCCTCTGCCTCCCCAACTGCTGGGATTACAGGCATGCGCCACTATGCCCAACAAACTGATATTTTTTAAGCACTATTTTTTTTTCTATATTAACAATACTACTCTGCTCCTGAGTTGAGCAGTGTCCTTTCTTCACCTAAAAAAATACCACCTGCCAACTTACTTTGCATAGCAGTCTTATTTGTATTATTTGGAGAGGATTGAAATGTCAAGAATTTCATAAATGAGTAATCCAAAGCAGGAATAATTTATTTTGTTTACTAATTTCCTTGAGTAAATTTACATGCAGACCATATTAATAATTTCTGATACGGATATAATAAATTGCACTTGTATCAGCCATAATTCAAAAATCTATGACCTAATGGGGCTTAGGCAAAACATGAAAATATTGTATTGAAGAACGTACATAAGCATAATCTTTCTATTTTTAATATGAATAAGCAGCTCACTTTTGAAAAGTTATCATTTCAGGGCTCCTTAGGAGAAAAGGCTACCTCTAGATGTAGAGAAAATACCAGATGAGCTTGGCGCATATTGCATTCAATTTTAAAATATTTGCACAGCAAAAGAAAATCAATAGAGTGACAAGATATCCTATAAAACAGGAGGAAGATCTTTGCTATAGTCAACAGGGATTAATATCCAAAAAATATTTGAAAATTAAACAGCCAAAGAGTAAGTAATTCAGTTAGTAAATGGACAAGTGAACCTAAAACCACCTTTCAAGTAAAAATGGCCAATAAACACACATGAAAATCTTCAACATTCTTAGCTCTTGGTGAAACCTCTATTGATGGGTTAGGGACTGCAACTCATCTGTTAAGAGTGCTCACCTAGCACGTGTCCAAAGCCCTGGACTTGGTTCCCAGCACTGCATAAAATGGTACATGGTGACACAGACCTGTAATCCTAGTAACAGGAAATCAGAGGATCAGAAGTTCAAGGTCATCCACCGCCACATAGCAAGTTTGAGACCAGCATGTGCTCTATGAAACTCTGTCTCAAAAAAACAGACGAACAACATCCCCCCCACCCCAGACCCAACCAACCAAAAATAATTACATTGAGATTTCAGCTCACCTCAGTTAGAATGACTATCATCAAGAAAACAAACAGAAACCCAATAGGTGTTGGTGGGGATGCGGGAGCAGAAGGAACTCTTATGCATGGCTGTTGAGAGTGTGAACTAGTGTCTATGTCCCCCATCCCCCCAAATTAAAGCTAGCTTCCTATAGGGAGCCCTGTATGCTCAGCTTTTCACCTTCCCATTCACAACAGCCAAGAGCATATTACTCTTAAGAGTAAGTTCCTAAATCCCCAAATCCACTCTTCTAGTTTACTCATGAAAAACTCCAGGCAGGCCCAAATTAAAAGTCATTAGGTAAAATGGCCTGACCATCACTCTCTCCGGGTTCAGGAGTGTGACAAACATAAATTATGAGAAGGCACCCAAGATTAGAACAGACTAAAGAGATTGGGTTGAATCCTTGTGTGGAAAGAATTTTCTGAAGAAATTCTGCTAAGTTACCTATAGCTGTTTGCTTCTATTGTGAATATTTGAGTTATTTTTTATCATGAACATGTAATACTTCTGTGTTGGAGAAAGCTCTTTCCCAAGGCTAGCAGGGAGGCTGCCTTACAGAACCTTAGCAAATTGCCTAATTTCAGTGATGGAAGGAGCTCTTTGAAACCTCAGTGAATCGTTTTGCCTATAAAGAGTATTTTTATAAGAAGGTCATTCATTATCCACATGGCATTTGTAAATTCTTTACGCACTAATCAATAATGAGGGGAAAAGCAGTATTGGGGGTGGGCAGGGTTCTGCTTTTCAGTTAGCCTGCAGAACATTGCCTTTTGTTTTAGCACACTGGCTCCCAAAGGCTAATATTGACAGATGCTTTACCCAGATAACCCTTGGAGCTTGGTTTCTGAAGTTTGGAGCTTGTGACATAGTTTCTTCTTGTGTATTGGTGGAGGGTAAGCCTCGAGATAGTAGCACGTCCCTGTCTTTTCTCATGAAATCATTAAAATTTTGTGTTGGGTTGTTTCCATTGTTTTCGTTATATATCAGGCTTCTATTCTTGCCTTTTTTCCTTTTTTTTTTTTTTTTAACCTTTTTTATAGTCTTTTTAGTTAAATTCTTTCTGGCAATGTAAAATGAAGGGTACATTTTTGTGTGTTGGGCCGTCACTCCTGGCCTTGACATCTTGGCAACTCTCTCTACAGCACACTTTCCTCCTCCATAGAGGAAGATGGTAATGTCACTTCTTCCAAAAGACTGTATAAGGCTGAGATGTGTCAGTCTGGAAGGTGATCAGCACCGTGTCTGACATATAAATGACTATGTCAACAGGGTTTCTGCCCTGTTTCCAAAAAAACATCGAAAGAGGTGACAGACATGAGTTCATTTGCTGCGGTCCTTAGCTATTATCATGTTCCTAGGGGAAGCAAGTGCTGATCCATTGGACACTATTCAGCTTTGTAGAATACCTTTCAGGAGGAGTTGTTATTCGCACTTTAATTTGGGGCATTGAGAATACACTATGAATATAGTGACCTCTATCTGGGGCATCTGGCAGCAAAGCTGGTGAATCATTCAGGCCAGTGTGTTAGTGCATGTAGCAATTGGAAATACCGGGGACTTCATATTTCCTGAATTTATTATTCAGTGGTAGGACTTGAGAGGGCCATGGTAGAAACTATTTCTTTTATCACATATGAAACATTCATTTGCATGGTATCTTCTAAAAGGAGTTCAATATTTTTCCAGCTGAGTATCTGTGTGTGTGCGTGTGAGTTTTAACAATTAAAAATTGTGATCTTATTTAGTCAGGTACATCTGCTTATGTTTAATATACATTTCCAATTTGTAGTTTTAGATTTCTGAAGGAGGATAATTCATATTTAAAAACTGTTTTGTATCAAGACCAAAATAAAACACATATCCCTCTCCCCCTACCCAAATATTGAAATTATCTTTCCTTAATTTCTTCTCCTCTGGTTTGTGTTTTGTTTTTCTAGAAAGTATTCCTGAGAATGATCTTCAAGGAAGACTTCATATCAACCGTGTCTTTCACATCAGTGCCGAGAGAATGTTTGAATTGCTCTTCACTAGCTCACGCTTTATGCAGAGATTTGCTAATTCTAGAAATATAATAGGTTGGTCCTCTGTTCTTACCTAATAATACATTTGTGAGGATTTTCCTTAGAGGGGAAATTGTCTGGGGGACAGTTGTCTGGATTTTCTGGGGGAAGGTAAATATACTTTGATTTAAGATATTGATTTTAAAACTGGGATTTGAATGTTTGGTTAAATTCACATGTGTACAATATAATTGTTTAATTAGGTAAGTGCTACTTAAAATTAGGTTTATACCCTTAAACCTACAGCTATTCGTTAATTTACCTAGTTAGTCTTGCTGAACCCCGTTTGAAAGGGTTCCATTACGGGACAGCTGGATGCAGGCGGAGAGTAAACTGAAGCGACCACTTGGCTAAATGGCCTCGTATCTATTACAGCTATGATTTCCTGGACTCAGCTCTTCCGCTCTGAGGTACACACTCATCAGAAAGGGATGTGTGTGCAGTCTGAAAAACACCTACCGGTGTTTTGGGAACATCATACACCCATCCAGTAACCCATCCAGTAACCCATACAGTAACAAATTATTCAAGTTTCCACTAAAGAATACCATATACCAATGCAAACAACAGTGGACTCCTGCTGCTTCTAATTATTAGTGAACCTCACAGTGTTAAGCGAAAGGAGCTAGATATGAAGCTTGTACGCCTGTTGTGTGAATTCTTTGCATAGACATGGAAGTCAGTGTGCTCATTGCCATTGCGGAGGAGCAGATGGGTAAAGCCTGGGAGGCTGCTCTTGGATGCAGAAAGAGGTTTTATGTATTAGTCTGAGTAGTGCTCATGTGTATTTCCTTTGTGAAAATGACAGAGCCATGCCCTTCTGATCACAGTACCTATAATGTAATGAAAATAGGAAGCTTTCTGTAGGGAGCCGATTACACTCCCAGAACGATTCTACTACTCCCGTGATAAAAGTCCTGCCTTGTCAAATATCTCAGATGAGTTTATAGAAGTCTAAAAATGAATTTATATCAAATGTTCCAGATATTTTGTTAACTTTGGGAGTCAGCCATATAAAATTAAGACACAGTATAGTGGTACACATTTGTACAAGTTAAGCCATTTGACATACTTAGCAAATCAATTCTATACTGCAAGGGTTTTGTTACCCATTAGGTTAGCTGAGACTTTACAAAGGCACAAGTATATATTCATAGGTAATATCAATGATATTGACACCAGGTCCAAAAATGAATGTTCTTATTCATGATAGAGTAGCAAAGGGATTCTGTTGAGATGGAATCTTGTGATTATTTCATGAGTTTCATGGCTTTAAGACTGCTTTTTCTATTTTCCATTAAAACATGGAATAGCTAAGAGATGTAAGTTGCCCTGTACTCAGTGGCTCATATTTAACTTACTGCATCTCTTGTGAATCGGTTTGTGCTTGGCTAGTCTCTGGGGAACCTTGCGAAGGGCTGGATATTTGCTAAGCAGTGATTGTTGATGTGGTAGTGCCCTTTTGCGGGTACGAGGCACCACAGGTTATTTCAGATTGTATGAAGTAAAGTTTGCTTCTTGCTGCATAGCCACATTTGTTGTCTAGTATCTATCTGGCTTCAACATGGATGATTATGTCAACTCTCTGGTGACATAAATAACTTTGGGAAGAAAAGGCTTCCACCTTATTCAAAGTCTGAACAGAAATAGGCCCCTTACAGGGTAGACCTAGCATGAGTCAAGAGGCTTTTCTCCAAAAGATAATTTGTTCATGACTGTAAACCATACTGTTATTCCTAGAAACTGCTACCGAGTAATCAAAGTTGCCTGTCTTTCTTTTCACTGTGTGTGTATGTGTTTGTAGCACGTGCATGAGCACAGGAGCGCATGCACGCATGTGCACACACAGACACAGGTGTGGAGGTCAGAGGACAACTTGTAAGAGATGGTTTTCTCCTTCCACCGTGTGGGTTCATAGACTCAAACTTGGATTGGCAGGGTTGATGTCAAGCGCCTTTCCCTGCTGTGATGATTTCAGTGTCCCCACCGGCAGTGGCATACTAGCTCTACAATTGGTGGTGCCGTTTGTCGGGGCTGTGGGATTTTTAGGGGACGTGGTATTGCTAGAGGATGGATGTCACTGGGGGATTTGGGTCATGGTAATTTGAACCACAGCAACAAAATAACTAAGACATCTCCTGAGCCATCTCACCAGCCCCAAAGATTTAATTTATTTTGATAAGGAACTTTTAAGTTGGCAGTCTCTTTAATTTCTATTTACAGTTGCATACCATTACTTCTAATTAAAAACTCAATTTAAAATGTTTTCATTTAGATAAATGGAAGCTACCTGACTAGTATAATAACATCTGTATTTAATTTGCCCAGGCTTTGCAGATTTTAAAACTGTGAGGAAATAATCATGATATAAAGCTAAGAATTCAGAGACATTGCCTACATTCGTTGTTGTGTAACTATTACCACACACATCTCCAGACCTTTTTCATCAGATTTTTCACCAAACAGAAACTCTGAGCCTATAAACAGTAACTCTCCATTGTCCCTCCCCAGTTCCCAAGGGACCACACTTCATCTGTTACATTTGTGAATTTCACTGCTCAGTTTACTTCATGTAAATGAGTATATATAATATTTGTCTGTTACTGAAACGTTTCACACTTAACAAAATGTCTTCAAATGTATCCTTCCACGAGAGGATCTGTAGCAGATATACGTCTTTTAAAGGCATAATTATATTCCGTGCATGCATGTATAATATAATAGTCTGTGTATTCAGTCATCCATTAATGACATTTGGCTTGCTTATGACTTTTAGCTATTGTGCAAGAAGTGTTACCCAGGCCATTAACATGTGAATATCTACTTAAGGCTCTACTTTGATATCTTCTCAGTGTTTCTTATCCTGAAAAGGATTGTTGCATCACAGGGTAACTTTGCTTATCTTCTTTGAGGCTCAAAGAAAATGGTATGACCATTTTACGGTCGTAGCAGCGATGCATAGTCTCCAGTTTACCCACAGAAGCACCAACACTTGTTCTTTCTAATTTTACATAACAAACACCCTAACAGGTGTGAAGTCTCACGGATTCAAATTGCTTACTAAAACAAAGCATTCTTAAAATACGCTGCAATTGTGTCTTTGCTTTTTTAACATTAGCACAATTAAAAAAAAAAAGACACTGTATCCTTTTGTCTGTTGTTATTTTCTTACAACTTTATTCTTGACATTTTATCTGATAAAGATCTTTTCTTCAGTATTGAGGACTGACTCTTCCAATATGATGTTAATCAGAGGATGTTCTTGCAAATGATAATTCAGTAGGCCATGTTGGACTACAATAAAAATCGAAATGTAACACACTTGGGGAAATAGAACTTGATTGTTATTTTATTTAATACTATGGAATTTTGCTAACAATTCAGTGATACCTTTTGATTCTGTTTCCAATTAACAGTGGATTATTTGTCTTTTCCCGGGTACTTTGAAATTAAGTGGAAATCTTTTTTTTTAACGAATGCCCAAACATGTTATATTTATAGCACATGCTGAGTGGTAGACCCTGTGGTAGGTGATGTTGCCCTTTTAAATGTAGTTGTAAAACTTCGACAGATATGCAAAGGCTTTAAGATCCTGCCTTAGGCCACTAGGCCTACTTGTAGAAAAGAAACTGAACAAAAATGGTCGTCTTCAAGCTAACCCTTTGATGCCAGGGGATGAATTAAAGTAAGGCTGCAATGAGAAGGCCGGTGAAGCACCAACCTATGAAATAATTGTCCATGTCTACTGGAGTTGATGGCATTTGTGATGTAATCAGACCTTTGAATAGACCTCACGAGGCTTTCATCTATAATGATTTTCCCAAATGTTGCTGTGTTTTAAAGCTATTGTTTTGTGTGTGTGTGTGTGTGTGTGTGTGTGTGTGTGAAATGTGTTGTATTCATAACGCAAGAGAATTATGACCTAGATCTAAAACTTCTGTCACCTTCCCTTCATTAAACATTTAGCAGACCAAACACAACTGCTAACATCTGTGACATGATTTCTCCACAAGAAGGTGTTAAAATCTCAGTGTTGAATAATGGCAAATGTCTTTCAATGTTTTGTCTTTAGTGGTGGCATACTCAAGTGTTATGTTTGTATCTTCTTTTTTTTTTCCCGACACAGAATCTTTTTATATGGCTCAGGCTAGCCTCGAATTCCCTATCCTCCTGCCTTAGCCTCACTGTTGCTAGCATTTACACGTATGTTCTTGTTCGCATTATTTCCATGGGTCCTAGATTTTAAACAGAAGCCTAGAGATGAACCAACCTTTGATTTTGACTTCTAAAAAACCAAATTAACAATTAGAAATAAGTAGATGAGATGTGTGTATGTGTGTGTTATAGCTTTTTGAAAAGGAATTATTTTTCTTTTTCTTTAGATTTATTCTATGTTTATGAGTGTTTTGCTCACATATATGTCTATGCAACACGTGTGTGCCTGGTGCTAACAGAGGTCAAAAGAGGGCATCAAGATTCATTGGGACTGGAGTTCTAGATAGTTTTGAGACACTATGAAGGTGTTGGGAATCAAACCCAGGACTTCTTTGAGAACAAGTCCTCTTAACCATTGAGACATTCCTCCAGCCCCTATTACAGCTTCTTAAACTGTGGATTGTTGTCGCACAAGTGAGGTGTGTGATTGAATATGGAAGGCAGTTTGTAAAAATTTGGCGACAGTAACAGGTTTCTGAATGGCAGATAGTAAAAATTAGTTCAAAATCAATGGTGTAATGAATCTGAGGTGCCTCTGACTCCTCTGTTGCTTTGAACGACTTTGTTGCAGCCTGGGTTCTGAACACACACTGTGTGTCACTGTGTCATGACACATGATGCCAGCATACCTGCAATACCTTCGCTCGTACAAACTTCCTGTCCTCATAGAAACATAATGATTTAATTATGGGTAATAAAGACTTTCACTTTTTTCCTGCCATCATCCCTTAGTACTTAAGTATCAAGTTAGTATATCTTTGGGTTTTATTGTATTAAAATGTTGCTTTTTGAGCTGCTGACAGGAATTTTATTTTTAAAAATTATGTAATGAATTTGGGTATAAGATTAGGAAAGAATTCCTAACAATTCTTGAAATGGCTCTCAACATATTTCAGCTATTTTTCACTATGCATTTTATCTGAAATGGTGTTCTCAGCGCTGACTGTTATAAAAAGAGCCTACAGACTCTGGAAAACATGGAAGGCATGCTGCCACCCCGTGTATCAAATTTTTAGCTATGGCCTACGCTCCTTAGGTCAAAGTAAACAAGTGGATCCAATAACATGCATATTTGCTCTTGGCTATTCTAAAAGGCAAAAGATAGGTAAACTAAGGAATTATTTTATAATACATTTCTTTAAGAATCAATCTCAGTGAGTGATTTGTATACCTATTTCACATACCTGTTGCCCAGAGCAACGTAAGAACTTCTCTGGGGAAAGGGGTTTATAAGAGAAGACAGTTCAGAAGACCCTGCTATGTTTCCTATAAGAAGAATGATTTCTCCAACGGGGTTAGGACTGCTCACAAATTTTTATATAACTCTCTAGTCACACCTCTGATTCTGCCTTTGTTTGCTCTGATCAGATGTGGTATCCAGCCCCTGGACAGTTGAGTCTGGAGGTGACCAGCTGAGAACCAAGACCTACACTGTGGTCCTCAGCAACCCGCTGACTGGAAAATACACGGCTGCCACGGAAAAGCAGGTATGTGAGGAGGCACGCCTGTAGCACAAGAGAGATGATCCCTGTCATGGGCAATGGTTTATGAGACGGCTTCACCAGATATAGCTGGCAAGGCACAATGAGCTGTCACTGGCCGGAAGGTGCTTCAAAGCGTAGAAAGCACACCTAATTAAATAGATCCCCTGTCAGAGAGTACTTGTAAGGAGTCTTTATGTCATTTGCAATAATGCTATTGTAGTTTTATTTTTAACAATGGTGATTGCAGAGATTCGGCCAGAATCTCTGGCATGCTAGCCGTATGCTCCAGCCTGCAGTTGTATTTTAAAGACAGGATATTTGTTCATTATTTTTGTTTTGTTTTGTCTTTTTAAGACAGGGTTTCTCTGTGTAGCCCTGGCTGTCCTAGAAGTAGCTCTGTAGAGCAAGCTGGCCTCGAACTCACAGAGGTCTGTCTGCCTCTGCCTCCCAAGTGCTGGCATTAAAAGGTCCATACAAAAGAATTTGTAAAAATCTAAAACTGAAGTAGTGTCTAAAATGTTACTAATGGCTCAGATGTCTTTGAAAACTAATGTAACACTGTGGAGGGAGGCTGGTGGAGGGAAAAGGTGGGGCTCAGATGAGAGGAGACACTAGTTAACATGGTTGAAGGTAGTGGATGAGCTCGTGAGGGTTCACCATACCCACACCTGGTCTTGTGCATGTGTACGAATTTTCATAATAGAAGATTTTAAAACGAACACTTCTAAAATCTAACTTATAGGATCATGGAAGGGGAGAAACCCAAAGAACTAGGTGGCTGCTGTGACATATGGGAAAGCACAGGCATCTTTAAAACTATAAACACAAGCCACCCACTAGTGTGTCACTGACTTGGAGTGGGGGGCCGATCTGGGCAGAAGTATGGTGCATATGAAGACCATTGCAAGCATCTGTGCATGACTGAAGGAGGCGTGTGTTGCAGTTTTTCCATCAGTGTTAAAGAAAATGTGATTCCCTTATCTTTCATGTATTTTAAATACTCACTTATTATTCATAGTGTTCTGCCTTGCGTGTGTGCCTGCACACCAGAAGAGGGTGCCAGATCTCATTACAGGTGGTTATGAGCCACCATGTGGTTGCTGGGAATTGAACTCAGGACCTTTGGAAGAACATCCAGTGCTCTTCACCTCTGAGCCGTCTCTCCAAAGGTTGCCACATATACAAGAAGAGATCAGTATTTGGCATAGATGAACTTCTATAAACTTGGAAGCCAGTCCTTCCTCCTTCAATGATGGGTAGAAGAGTTAAAATGAGAAAGGTTTAGCTGACAGACCCCCTAAATCCTGTTTAGGGAAAGTGATGTTTTCTTTGCTCAATTTCTTTTCCTTCCTTCCTTCCTTCCTTCCTTCCTTCCTTCCTTCCTTCCTTTCTTTGCTCTTTTTTGATAACATTTGCCTTTGTTAAACTTTGATGAATGTGGGAGTTATGGACCTTGTATTATTCAATTGGTTTTGAAGTATCAACTGAATTTTTAACTTAAATCTCATTATAGCTAATAAACACAGAAAGATGATGTGGTGTGTTTCTCATCCTGTCCTAGCTTGTCAAAAAATTTGATGTCTTTTGTATGTGTGAGAAGGAACGTCAGCGCATTGTTCTAAATAACTGGGAACTATCTGGGAAATAGGTATGTAAGCATTTTTCTCCTGCTTTGCAGACGCTGTATAAAGAGAGTCGGGAGGCACAATTTTATTTAGTGGATGCAGAAGTGCTGATACACGATGTCCCCTACCATGACTACTTCTACACTGTGACGAGATACTGTATCGTCCGAGCTGCAAAGCAGAGATGCAGGATGAGGTGAGTAACTGCAAGGGCAAGGTGTGTGTCCGTGTGTAGCCAGGGTACGCTGCAAAACTAGCCCAGAGTTCTCAAGCAAGTCCCCAGAGCTTTGCTTCTTGCCTAACTCGCATGTCCAGCAGCCGTCAGGAGACTGCAGCTGATGACGTTTTGATATTCTGGGGCTACACAGGCTAAAACAAGTGTCCTCCAGGTGGATTTCCACAGAATGCAACCTCATTGCAATGGGATAGCTAAAGCAGTCTATGGCCACACTCCCCTGAACTCACCTTGATGTCTTCTGCTGGCTAAAGTCTGCCTCTAAAGAAATATTATTTTCTTCTCACCCTATTAGAGTTTCCACAGACTTGAAGTTCAAGAAACAACCATGGGGCCTTATCAAGTCTTTAATTGAGAAGAATACCTGGAGTTTAATGGATAGCTATTTCAAACAGCTTGGTCTGTAAAGTTTTAATCCATCTATGTATGTATGTATGTATGTATGTATGTATGTATGTATGTATGTAT